GGGTGAAAAAGGTGCCTGTGGATCGATTCGACCTGCTCTGCCCTGGATCGCGGGCTTCCCGCGCAGCACTCGGGGCAGTACCCGTGACGGCCCTCGCTCTCCGCTCCGTCTCTCGCTTGGCGGGTTCCCGATCGCTTGCCTCTGTCTCTGCGAGCTGTCAGCGGTTTAAACTCGCTTCTAAACTTGCGTAGCACTTGTGAAAACCCGTGTGCGGTGTCTGGTCTGTGGGGTCGGTGCCGACCGTGGGCTGCCGACCCCCGGGCGCAGCTGCTGCAGCTCCAACACACGCCGCCCGGGGCTGCCACCGCCCTCGCCTCCTGCTCCCGGAGCCGTGACTTTGATTCCCTTCCTCATCAGGACGATGGCTGCTATCGCCGAGCGCACCTTCATCGCCATCAAGCCTGACGGAGTCCAGCGGGGACTAGTGGGAGAAATCATCAAGCGGTTCGAACAGAAAGGATTCAAACTGGTGGCCATGAAGTTAATACACGTAAGCTTCCCTTCATTTGGATGCCTCCTTTTTTTTTCCGTAGAAACGGCAGCCCTTGAATAGAGCAGCATGCTGGAATGATAAATGTAGTCTTCAGAACAATTAAACCTGAAATTCTTGGGAAGCCTTTGAATATTTTGGATATTTTTGGAAAAGTTCCAATTCCCAGCTCTGGCTAAATGCTTTAGACATGCTAAGCACGCTAATTTTAGTAACCTGATGTCCTTAGTCTGAAGAGAATATTATGTTAGGTGGTTCATATACCTAATAAATATCTCTGAATATCTTCAACAAATGCCAGGTCACGTCAGCTGTCCATACGGGCAAAAGATACTTTTCTAAGCTCAGCCGTGGTTAAAGCAAACAGTTCAAATTCATAACGACCAAAAGTACTTCTACGAAGATGCTAGAAATGCTGAATTTTCGAGTGCGTGCAAGTTCTAGGATTAATAGTGCTCTGTGGTTAATCTATGTGATTTCAGTATGCTCTTAAGTTCTTACTGTAAGCTTTTTTTGTTCGGCTGGTTGGTTTTTAATGCAGGCCTCTGAAGACCTTCTGAGAGAACACTACATTGACCTAAAAGACCGGCCGTTCTACGATGGTCTGGTGCACTACATGCACTCTGGGCCTGTTGTAGCTATGGTGAGTTCTTCAGAATGAAGTTCAGCTGAGAAAAATACACTGTTTAATTGTCTCACCTCCAATGCGGTTGTGTTACCTACTGAATTCCACTTTACTTCTAAAAGGACTTTAAAACCTAGATTCAAATACTGTCATTAGGAAGATGTGCTGTAACTCCTTTTGCTTTCATCTTCTTTCATAATATTTCTCTCCTTTGAGTCAGTATGTTGAGGAAGAGGGCAGGGGTAAAGGGGGGAACCTTGAGAAACAGTAAACCTGCACGAAAACCCCACTATGAAATGTCATCTATTAAGCAAACCGAAAAATGACAGTGGGATATTTTTACTATACTCCTAAGCTATAGTAACTTTGAAAATCTTTTTAAGCCTAACTTCATTAGAAGGGATTTTCTCTTTTTTTTTTTCCTTGATGGTGTGTTTGTAAAATAGTTGAGCTGGCGGGAGGTGTAGATCTTCAGTGAGCAGACAGCTTTCTAAGGCTGTTTGCCATATTGAGATTTAAAAATGGTTCTCTTCCCATCCTTGGTGAGGAGAGCTGTTGTGCAGAAGGGGAGAACTTCAGCAGACACTTCAAGAATCTGACAGAAAAAAAAAAAAAGTCTCGCTCTTACGAGTATTCAGGTGGTGATTTGTGCCATGACGGACGGCATTGCGTAATCCTGGAAGGTGTGAGTGACTCTTGCTACTTTATTTACTGCTGAGGTTTAATAATCTCAATGGATTTTTTTTTTTTTAAGGTGTGGGAAGGTCTTAATGTGGTTAAGACTGGAAGAGTGATGCTGGGGGAAACGAATCCATTCGATTCAAAGCCTGGCACTATTCGTGGTGACCTCTGCGTTCAAGTTGGAAGGTATCTTTTGAAACTATTGATACCACCTAAAGACACAAAATGTCCCGTGGTATGTCATGGTCTCTGTAGGAACTGTGCTCCAGCCTCCTCTGTCTCGTGCACGGAGCTGCCATTCCCTGTGCCCACGTCATGTCACGGTCTCAAGATGCAAATCCAGTTGCACTCTTCCCCATGGACCGAAACGATGAGCAAAGCTGGGACTACGTACCCCCTGCCGGTTACTGCTTTACAGTTCCTTAAAACTTCTCTCCATAAAGGAGACCACTTCAAAACTAAAAAGCAGCTTCGAGTTTGAAGATTATATTCCTTTTACATCCACCTTTTCTTTTCCTAGGAACATCATTCATGGAAGTGATTCTGTGGAAAGCGCTGAGACGGAGATCAATTTGTGGTTCGCTCCTGAAGAGCTGGTTGATTATAGAAGCTGTGCTCATGAATGGATCTACGACTAAACCCGAACCGATACCTTCTGATACCCTGACTGCCTGTAGACAGCCGCTAGCCTCTAGCTGTTTCAGAGCCCTTCAGAGAAACTGGTAGAAACCTGTCCCAGAAATCTGTGAGATTGTTCTGTTGTGAATATTAAATATAGTCAGTGTTTGCGGCTGCTTTGGTTAAAAAGCTGTCCACTTACAGCTGGAATTGTATTTTTAAAAAGCCGCTTCTGGGATGAGAGATAGGAGATTAAAACACAGAGAATACAACACATAGATTTTCCTGAAACACGCTGTAGTCAAAGAGGGTATTTTGGTAAATAGAAGGAAAAAATGGTAAAAATTTATTTGGTAAATAATTATGCAAATGGCTGAGTGTCAAAGTTAATTTCGTTAAAATGTCAGGGGACAACTGGTGGTATGTAAATATATTGATAGTGTGCCCAAATGTGGAGGACTGAACTCGAGATCAAGCGAATCCCCATGCCCAGAATGGCTGCAGAGGAAAAGCACCTTTGTTCCTCTCTCCGGAGCGCGCTGTGCCTGGACACGTGGCAGAGCTCTGGTTAAACCAGAACTTTCCTCCCGGCTGACACCGTTTCAACTTGCTTTTTTTTTTCCCCCTGCACAGGATTTACGTAGCATTTTAAGGAAGGATTAATAGGCCAGGCTTTCTGAAATGCCCTTTTATGTGAAAAGAAGATTAATGGGAGGATGGACGATGGAGATCCACCTTCAGGCACTTCACTGTAGCAGTCCTCTGCCCTTGCGCAGGGCAGCCACGGAGTGATGTTTGCTTTACTGGCTGAACAGCTGAGAGTTTAGCTGTGACCTTATTTGTGTTCTTTCCTTAACAGCTGGAACTCCAAAGCCAGCTGTTCTTGGGTAAGGTATTTCAGAAGCGACTTCAGTGTTATTTTTAAAATTTATTTAACCATATAAAGAAATACAGTCATAATAACGCTAAATGTATTTTAGTAGAAATATCTGCTTTATCAGAGAAAACTGAGCCTCCTGCGGAAATCTGGACAACAAATAATCACTAGCTGTACTGGACGAGGACCAAGAAATGCGTTGGGGTCAATATTATGTATTTGTTTACCTGCAACACTGGATTCATTAAAAGCAAGAGTTTAATGAAATTAGTTGTTCAAACTCCTACATTTTTTTCCTACAGTGACTTCTTGTTTCAAATACTAAACTGTGCAACAGATGTTGACTTCAGTGCTTGTGATACTTGATGAAGATACCTAATTCCTAAAAAGAGATAGTACAAAATAAAACATTTGCAGTTTCTTAGGCGAAATAAAAGGGGATTTTCATTGTATTGTTTTAGGTCTAATTAATGAGTATAAGGGGAGGGAATACATTCCCTAACTACCAAACTGTAGGTGAGGTTGTTAGCTTCTCTTCTGAAAATACTCAGTGTCACAGTCGATAAATAATTAAGTTAAAGGGTGTTAGAGAAAAGGGAACATGTGACAATCCTGTCCATGGGAACAGTAGTCTCCAGTTTCATTTTTGCTTGAAGGATTATTTGAAGTTTCTTAATTTGCATACTACAAAACAGAGAAATTTGGCTTATCTGGAGACGCGGGGGTTTGCCAGAAAGCTACTGATTAGTATTTCTAATGTGTGGAGACTGAGAGGAGGTGGAGGTCAGCCATCTCTCAGAGAAATGCAACGGCAGGTCACGAACGCTGCCCGTGCAGCGATGGTGTGCGGTCCTGACGAGCTCCCGAAGAGAAACGGTGTTCTGTGCATTAGTCAAGGGCCAAGCAGTAAACACCATAAAAAGGAACAGCACTCTTCTCGACTCTCGTCACGGCACAACGCAGTTCCAAGCAGCTGTAAAGGCGTGCTGCTGCGGTTGAGCCAGGCTGGCAGCAGCAACCACGAGCAGCCCGCGGGAATCTCTCTGGAAACAGCCGGGAGAGCATTTCTCGGTAAAAAGGGATTGGGTACCGATCTTCTCACCGCGGAAAAGGCTCACGGCCCCGTTGCTGCAACGGAACGCGAACAACCCTCCGAGGCGGCTCCCGGGAGGGGCAG